GACCCCACATGACTCGAAACATCTCTTCGCATGCCTGGAAAACCCGACAACCATAACGGCCTTGTCCTTGTGGACCAACCCCACAGAAGCTGCACGCTTCCTGGAGCTGCCGTTAGTGGAACTTGACGACAACGACTGAGATACCAACCGACCAGGGCGGGGTTGTTGTAGACGCTACAACAACAACAACATAGTCCGCTCTCCTTCTCGGCGCATACAACCGCAATTTTTAATAAAGTACAAAGCCGCAACAAGGTCCTCAAGTCGCCAGCCGGCAACATACGAGGCAATTGTGTGGTCGCCAGGGACTAGTAGGACGCAGTGGAAAACACATCACCCCGGACAGGGACCGGATGCCTTCTGTATACCTATTCTCAAACCAGTTAGCGACAATATTCGGATCGCTATCGCAAGTAGCTGAAGTATGTTATGAATGCCGCGAGGTTACGATAGCGATACGATATTTGTCGCAAATTCGATTGAGAATAGCCCCACTGATGTCGCCACAACATCACCTACCCGACGATGCTCATATGCTCCCTATTAAGGCGCTTACACAATTCTCTGCAAGCAATTCTTAGTAGGGTGTCATCGACGCAGGCACCCGAACAGACACTTGCTTGCGGAAGAACCCTCGCCACGGCACGTCGGAAGGCATCTATATGAACTGACGGGCGAAGTCCAGAATATAGCTGTGTAACTTCATACCCAGAATAACGACTCTACTCCATTGCACTCCATTATTAGGTTATTGGTAATATAGAAAGATGTTTGTTATACCTAAAATTAGTTAGAGAACTAAGAAAAAAACCACATCGGACATTTTTCGTATGCTATATTTTATTTCTAAATAAAGGATTCACTTAAAATTCTAATATTTAATTCATCATTGAACGATGCGGATATTAACGGGCATCGAAAACAACCACTGAAAGAAAAATATATAAAATTAAATTTAGAGTGATATCGTTGAATTGATTTTAAATAAAGATTAAATTAATTATTTGCAAACAGTCTGATTTCCGTATAAATCTAAACTTTTATATTACTTTGTCTACGCGAAACACGGTACCAATACAAGTTTGTGTGTACCTGCACTTCAGTAAAAGGTGGCTTCGCAGAGAGTTCACTCACATATCGTCCCCGTATGCCAAAATCATGAATGTGTAAACAAAAGATTTTTTAACGAGACTTAACTCAACATTCTTGTAACTGACATTGTAGGGTATGTGGTTTCCGTGTACGCATGGTATTCTGGGTTTTGGTATAACATGAACATCCAAGGGTTAATCAAGTCAACCCAATAAATTACAAATTTGTAAATTTGCACAGTCATGCTTCTGGCATAAGGGTGAAGATATGGCTATTAACTTTGTGAATTGTTAATTTCGAGTAGACTCTCTATTAAGAAAAAAGTCGTAAGTGCTTAGAAATTACCCACTTTCGATTTGTACGAAAACAACAATTACGCTCTATTATTATAATTAAGATTTGCATATTTGATAATACATACTTTTAATGAAATAAATGGTATACTTACAGCGCTTTGTACGCTTCTTGTACATGATGCGGTAGCCACATTCACGACAACGTATGGGATCACGCGGACGCATCTCGTTTTCATGATGACACTCTGTATGCGATAAGATAAAAAAAGAGTAATGCAATAATTTTTATAAAAAAATTTTGGAAATCTGTATAAAGAACATTTCGTTTATTTGCATTCGCGTTCGATGCATATTTTAATGCAGTTAAGCAAAAGATACAGCTATACGGAAAATCAAAAACTTTTTTGGTACTTGTAGCTAACTTTTTATAGATTCTTTCTGATTTGACCACTCTTATGGGTCTGTCAATCAGATACTGGAAAGCGTATGAAGCACTGCTAATCTGAAACGCAGCTACACGATATTCAGCGAAAGAACGATGCTGCTGGCGTATGCGTATATCAACACTGTCGGACTAAACGATCGACCCGCTGATGGGCATGGAAAAGCGCTCAAAATGGAAATACACCTATCTATCATTGGTAGAAATTCGTTTTCTTCATTAAATAAATCTACAATTTCAACATATTTCAAATCTTCTTCGGACAAGTTCTTTTTCCCTTTCTTACATACACAAATTGTACCAGAGAATGAGTTCACTGCCCATAACTAGATCATAAATCTGTTGAAAATGCTTCGCGCTCTTTTGTACCTTTTCTCTGGAACATTTAAGCTCTAACCAGAATTACTGCGGACGACGGTGAAGCGGTTGCCGGTAAGTGAACATCTGAACAGTTGACGCAGTGAAATCCGTCAGACTAAACACAAGTGCTGAAAATTATCATTCAAATTAAATATTTTTTTCGGTACGTGCATGTACATATGTAGATTTTCTGGAAGAAAAAAAAGTATGAAAACATTGGCAACTTGTGCAAATAAGAAAAATTACTACAATCAACATTGTGCCGTCCACGATGGTCAGCAAAAATATAAATACATTTAAATCAACCGAAAAACGTCGGTTTTAAAAACGCTGCCATATGCCTTTGAGTTTTCGTTTTCACAGCGGTTAACCGTCGACCGCTTGTCGTCGTCCGCTGCAATACTGGGTAGAGCTTTAATCGAATACAATGGGTACAATCCAGACAGCGAAACAGCTCGAGTATTTTCATTGTAAAAGCGTAGTTGTAAAGATGCCGTTAGTGAATCCAGATACGATTTTATTATAGACCAGTACTCATTTTCATTGATCGATGGGGGCTACTTCTGTGTGTTTGTTTACCTGCCAACCGTTGTAGGGAAATTTCTACTCCTAGATCGGCTGTAATCATAGGAAATTTTTTAATTTACTCCATAGTGACTTTTTGTACTTTTGGGATCGTTCTTAACCATCGCCAAAATATTTTCAATATGCTGACTATGTAGTGGCGATGAGGTTTAGTTATTGTCTTCATTTGTAAAATGTGTTCTTCTGTAAGTTCCAGCAACGTTGAATATTTAGCAATTGTCATTAAAGCATAGATGAACATCCGCAAAGATGTTGCCTCTACAACAACAACAACAACCGCCTTGTTATAGCAGCACACAATTGATACGAAGATTTTCTTGTGAAAGTTTCCCTAAATTTACAACTTTTCTATAACTTCCACCACTTCTGGAAATTTTTTT